CAAATTATATAATAAATAAAAAGAAAACAGATAGAATAGAAAAAGAATAGAGCAAGCTAGTTAGAGGCCTTTTTTGCTTTTGTTAATTGTATAATAAATAAAAAGAAAACCGATAGATAGAATACAAAAAGATTAGAGAAGCTAGTGTTAGTGTTATGCATATTACTAATCAAAAATTACGTTTTTATATATTTATGGTAGGAAATTTACAAAATATCTTCATGGAACATGATCTTTACTTAATATCCTAATGATTTCTGTCATAAAAGAAAAATCGATAATTTTGACCCATACAATGTATTGTTGGCTATTGCTACAAATATCCCTGTGCTACTTAAGACTGGTTTTGTGGTCCATATATATATATATATGATATATATAATTTATATATAATTATATTTATATGTATATATAATTTATAGGCATTCTGGTAGCATTTAATGTGTATCCTAACAATCAAAGAAATAAATAAAATAGTAGAATTATTTTAAATACACTTTAATTACACATTACTTTGATACACATTTAATTTCAGTGGGTTTGTTATTGTTTGTTAAATACACAGCCATAAATTTGAACAAGCCTTACTCTATGCATTTTTGCATACAGTATTGTATTGTTTGTTGCATGCATTGTTTTACTTTTTTTTTTTAATAAATTTCCACTTAGTTGTAATTGACTGTAAAAATGCTGAAATTGATGACTATTAACACAATCTGGATGTTTTTGTGGATGTTCTCTGAATACCAGCATCTATTTGTTTTTTTAGGTTCCAGAGAGGCCAGCTCAGCCCCACAAGGTCAGTGGGTGTATGTTAGTGACACCAGCGTTCAGACTGTACCGGAGTCCAGAGTGCTGAACTCTCAAGCTTATTTACTTTTCTATGAAGAACTCCTATAAGATCCAGACGGGCGCGTGAATGCCAGATGATCCAGACAAATGCAAAACGCAATATCAGCTCAGACAACAGCGAGCACTTACTGCATGACTGTATCCCTGTATTTTAATGTAGGATTCCATATACTAAAAGCTTTGTCTTATGGCTCATTCATTACTCAAGGTGATCTGAATTAAAAATGGGAGCCATTATTATTGATGTAAAATAATATTATGAGTTTAAGTTATTTATATTTTACAGCTAATGTTTGAGCTTAACATTTATTTTTGGGGGGTTCATTTTGCAGGAGAAATTGCCAAAGAGTAATTTAAGATAAATATGTATAGAATATATATTATGAGAGGGAGGACTGTGCCAAAAGAGTCTATAACCTCTGTTGTGAAAGGGAAACTCAGCACAATATGCAGCTGTTGCTTTCAGAGCCGTTTAAACCCGTCATATCCTGCACTGGATCACACAAACTAGTCACACATAGACACACGCAAACAACATATCATCATTTACTTGGAGACAATTTAATATTCACAAGGTTGCTTGACAACAATATAATAAATTGTAATTTGCTGATTGTCATTTATTTTTGTGTTAACGTTTAACTTTGGTTTGCTTGATCAGTACTAATGTTTTTGAATGTAGTTTGATTCAAATCATAGAAGTGGGCCCTCCTGTAAAGTTTTATGAATTTTAACTCGAGAACATTTCTCAGTATCTAATGGTTAAGGAGTTGGTGCAATATTCCTGGACTTTGCCTCATGCCTAATTTTTCTATTTCAGAAATGAATATGAGTAGAAAACAATTTCTTATTATTTCCCCTTTTTGAATTTTGAAGCTACATCAGTGCCTACGGTTTATGAGGGCTGAGATTGTTTTGCATGTCTTTAGCAAAGTATTCGATTCATACAAGAATATAAAGAGAACGGTTTGTGTATATACTGATTAGAAATATACATAATTGTATGTAAAATATGTATCTTGTTCAATACTATTTATTCTGTTTACCAGGCAGATATTGTAACACCATAGATTTGTGTGGTGTTTATGGCTTCAGGGTTCCTCAAGCTGTTCTATTGCTTGAATTTTGTGAACATAATCCAGTACAAAATCATTTAAAATGATAATTTAAATACATGTAGTTGAAGAAAACCTTTGAGTGGGTTGAAATAATTTCATCTCATTACATTTGGGGTCTCTGGGTGCCTTGTCTCTCTTTCTCTTTCTGGAGATGTTGTCGCCACAAATCCCAGGATGCCATTTTCACTCTGTCCTCGGCTGAGATTCGGCGTGACGGGTGCAAAGGCGTGCTGTTTTAAACCATGTCACTGACTGGTGAAGAGGAGGTGGGTGTGGAATCAGAAAAGGGCAATGTCCGAAACGATCGTGTCCTCCTGCCTTCCTCCTCTCCTCATTCCGTGACATTCGAATCAAGACGGTTATCAGTTACAACAGAGTGTGCAATCTTTGCAAAGCATGTCTATTTTTAAAGCAGAGCTCTCTTTCAGGGAGGTTGTGCGAGTGATTTAATGTGAGTTAATGATTGGATGTGTTCCCCTCGGTCTGAAGTCACAGAGAAACCTGATATGAGGGACGGGTGGAGCTGATTTTGCTTTCAGAAGAACCCGTTGAATGTGAAGGGAGACATTCAGACATATCCGGGTGGAAAAGGGTTTTTGCTTTTCTTCATACCTTCAGGGCAGACATAAGTGGTTAGAGATGATGCTTGTTATCTTTTTTGACCCAGCATTACTCTACAGCACGTAACCTTTTCTGTCACTCTTTCAAATGCAATTCTGTCTGTTTGGGGTGGCAAGGGAGGCTGGGTGAATTATATTCCATCACTGGACACCACTAAAAGTGTATGATATGAATCGGTATGATGGATAGGATATCAAAGCTCTACTTGTAATGGCCATTTCATTTCTTGGTTTTGAACCAGCCCTACTGTATGCATCTCTCTGCTATGATGTGTTAAAGATGCCAGAGAGGTTATCTGAAATGCCTAGTGTATTCAACTCTTTTGTGCTTTTCAATTCTTGGTTTGTTGAAGGTTTGTCTTCAAAATTCCTTCATTCCACACAAGCTTCAGTCATAGTGTGGTATTGAATTGCTCACTGAAACAAATACAATGTGGTGTGACAGTAAATGCTACACCACTCTTGTCTTTGAAACTAAATTCAAAGAATTCAAAAAAAGCAACCGAAGAACCTAAAAGAAAAGATTGTTACGTTACATTCTTATAACAATATATGTCTAGTGTAATTATTGACATGGGAACTGGTAAGTTTAAGATGTTCATGTTCATTTAAATGGTCTAGTGGTAAGACACTTTCATATAGTTTCTAAATTAATATAAGGCCTAAAGAAAGCTCTCTCGCTCTATTAAAATCTATATAAACCTATTTTATACTTAATACTTAAAATGACTTTTAAGCTAATATTCATTTTCAGTCATTTAAAAAAAAGACTCAGAGCAGTGGTTGTCAGCTGGGGGCTGGCTGGGACCCACTGGAAATTATTGAAAAACAAACAAACAAAAAAACAATAGAAATCAAGATGTAAGCTGACATAGTATTTCTTATTTTAATGTGTTCCCCCAACAACTTGTCAATTTTTTATTTTATAAGTCTTAAAAAGTCATGGTAATTTTTATAATAGATGTTTTTTCTAATTATATTAAGCTCAAAAACATTTTATTTGTTGTAAATTGCTGAAATATTGCCATCAGTGAGTGGGGAAAAAAATAAAACAAATCCATAATCATGAACACGAAACTCCATTTAAATTCGTAATAAGTTCAGTTATTGAAACTTCTGGAGTTATAAAATTCATTTTTTTATATTAGGCCTAATACATTGTCACTTCTAATTTCTGTAGATGCAAAAGTTTGAAAACAAACAGCTTTGTCATTACAGAAGTACCGTAAATATCTTTGACAATGGGGACCTTGCTGTAAAAAGGTTAAGAAGCATTGAATTAGATTCATTCTATAATAGACTTAATAATATGCAGATTTTGGATATGTAACACAAATATGCATACAATTTTTACAATATTTTTTAAAAGGTATTTATTAGGCTAATCATTTTTCCTTGCTAGGTTCAGCGAATTTTGGTTATTCTTTCAGATTTTTAAGTTCATACAGTGAAATCTGATTTTGAGATTATTTTAAATGATTATATTTATTTAATAAATAAATAATAATAATAAACAATAAAAAAGTGTGTATAGAAAGTGTTTATAATATCATCTTCGCGTGCGTCGCAAGTATCCACTAGAGGGCCTGTGTTGTGAGGTCACTGTTGCTGGCATTGTTTCCGGGTCATCGTCGCCATTTTACTGGTGAGAATCGGAGAGGTAAGAGATCGCAACGTGTCTGTAAACCTTCAGCCAACTACCTCAGAGTCCTGCGCTTCTTATTCGCATCAGTTTCGGCGATCGCTGAACTAGTAAAATTTGTGCGTTTAAGCCGAAAGAATAAAGTTTTTAATAATTGTTGATATTGTAGACGCGCGGCCTAACGCTTGCATAGCTAGCTCTACGACGACGCGTATGTCTTTATTAATTCATGTCATAATTATATTCAGAGAAGCACAGAAATCCTTTATAAAAACACTCAGCGTGCATTTTAAGGATGCATGGACTATCCTAGACTGGTTTTGCAGTAGTCTGAGTGAGAGCAGTATTTCTGTTGTGCGTCTCCGGAACTGCAGCTGTGCAGGGTTGCATTACAGCTGTAGTGATCGACAATGAAAAAGCAGCGCTTGTTTTTCATGTTCTTATAAGGGAACTGCTATTCAAAATGCTTACATGCTATATTTGCAGTCGCTGTTAATGCTGTGCAAGTAAAATGTTTGTTTCATAAACATCTGCATGTGTATTTCATAACGCTTCTGGCACAGGAATCACACGGTGAGAGATGTGGGACCAGGGAGGACAGCCCTGGCCTCAGTGGCCCCTGGGCTCACAGCAGCAGTGGATGCAGTCATTTCAGCATCAGCAAGATCCAGGTCGGCCGTTGTTCTTATCTAATGAAGCTTGCACATACTAATCACAAAGTTCAGTTGTTTGAACTGCTCGGTTTGGTGCAGTGTTTGAGTTTTGTGTGTTTTTTTGCAGGTCAAGTGGACTGGGCTGCTTTAGCACAAGCATGGATTGCACAGAAAGAATCCACTGGAGGGGTTGCCGACCAGCAGGGGATTCAGCCCAACGGCCAGGAAATACAGAACATGGAACCTCCAGCCCATAATAACCATGGTGCCTTTCCCGGCGATCATAATTTTGGCAGAGGTTGGCAACCAGGTAAGGCCAATTTTTCAGTTTGACTGTGAGCATTTTAAAGGCAAATCATAATTAAGCTAGACCTATGTGTTCGGCTGGAATGGTAGACTTCTCTGTGGTGTCGTATTCTGGACTTCTCCAATCCAGTCAACAACTGTTCGATATAATCAAGCCCTCACCCTTTTTCCTCGATTATCCATTTCATTCTGACATGCTTTGTAATACGGAAGAAATGATCTGTTGCTACTCCTGTTAAGTTGTGACTTTAAATCTTAAATAATCGGCCAGTCGGTCAATAGAAAGCAGAAGTAGCCCCTTTCAAACGTCTGCAGAATAATTAAAGGAGTCATATGATGCGATTTCAATTTTTCCTTTCTCTTTGGAGTGTTACAAGCTCTTGGTGCATAAAGAAGATCTGTAAAGTTGCAAAGACTAAAGTCTCAAAACCAAAGAGATATTCTTTATAAAAGTTAAGAGTTAACCATGCCTACCTAAAACGGCTCGTTCTAACACGCCCCCACATACCTGCGTCACGATCTGGGAAGATTTGCATAACGCCGCCAAATGTTCACGCAAAGAAAGAAGGCGTAACTTTTATTCTCACTGTAGTATTGTTGACGCTGCAGCCATGTCGTGAAGACGCTGTGTGCTTCGTTGTGAAAGCGAAACTACTTTGTTTGGTCTTCCAAAAGAGGACGATATTGCTTCGTCATGCCTGGAGCTGATCTGTGCTGGTCGCTGAGGAAATACGTCACCTTGTCACGCGCTTGAGGTATTCGGCCAATCACAACGCATTGGATAGCTGGCCAATCAGAGCACACCTCGCTTTTCAGACCGATTAGTTTTGTAAAAATCGACGCGTTTCAAAAAGGCGGGGCATAGAGGAGAAACAATAATGTACAGTATGTGGAAAATAATGTGTTTTTTTAACTTTAAACCGCATAAACACATTTCATTACACCAAATACACCAAATAATGTTCTTTTTAGCAGCATCATATGACCCCTTTAAAGGAATAGTTCACCCATAAATGAAAATTTGCTCAATATTTACTCGCCCTATGGGCATCCAAGATGTAAATGAGTTTGTCTGTTAGATGTTTCATCATTGGAACAGATTTGGAGAAATTTAGCATTACATCACTTGCTCTACTATGGATCCTCTGCAGTGAATGGGTGCCGTCAGAATAAGAGTCCAAACAGCTAATAAATGGATTGATGGACTGGAGTCAAGTGAATTACTTGTGGATTATTACGTTCTTATCAGCTGCTTGAACACACATTCTAATGGCACCCATTCAGAGGATCCGTCACTAAGCAAGTGATGCAATGCTAAATTTATCTGTTCTCATGAAGAAACAAACATGGCCTGAAGAAATTTTCAGCAAATTTTCATTTTGAATAAGGTCAACAGGTAAATGTGTGCTCGGTGTGCTATAGTTGCAATATGTAATTTTTTTTGTTTGTTTGTTTGGCTGTAATATTGAGAAGCAGTTTGTTGCCAAAGAACTTTACTACAACTGGTTTAATTCATCACCTGAGGAACACAGTTTCAATTATTAAAATTAATAATTTTAGAATTCTTGTCGTATAGTAAGTTCAAAGACTATATAATTGCCACTAGTGTTGTCAAAAGACCCGGTACTTCGGTACCAAGTCGGTACTAAAAAAATGAAAACGTTACGGTACCAGGTTTTCTTAAGTACCGGTGGTACCGAGTACCCGGTCAACCCGGTTCTTGATGCGCTATCCGAAAGCTATCCTCTTCCAGTGTTGCCAAGTCTGCGGTTTTCCCGCGGAATTGGGCTGCTTTAACACTGTTGCCGCTCCACGGGTTGTTTTTCATGTCCGCGGGTTGAAAAACGACCCCACTAACGTGATATTTAGCCCCTGGAATGCGAATTTCACCAGGGGAACCCCGCCAAAACATGCATATTTTATCCTCGGAA